GGCCCTTCTCCAGACTTCGCCTGTCGGTGGGTGTGGCTTCCACCTGGTCCCGTTTCGCCTGCCGTTGTGCGTGGCTTCCGCCTGGTCTCTTCTCCTGTCGGTGAGCGTGGCTTCCACCCTTTTCCACCACCCAGCACGAGGTGGCTGCTCCTGGCCACCGCTCGGACGTCCATTCCCTGTGCTTTTTTCGATTTCGTGCGTGCTCGTTTTCGCCAAATGATCAAGGATGCTCCTCGATGGTCCTCGCCGAAAGAAACATGCACACGTCCGAGCGATGCCAAGGCTCATGCCAAGGCCCAACCACCTCATTGAAGTGATACTGCTGACCACCCGTCAGGATGGGCGAGCCGCAGGCCCCGCCTGGGTGGCCCCCCTGGCCTGTCGGTGGGTGCGGCCTCCGCCTGGCATCTCGCCTGTCGGTGGTTGTGGCTTCCACCTGTTCTCGTTTCGCCTGTCGGTGGGTGCGGCTTCCACCTGCCTGCGTCGTAAAAATGCGACGGCTTTCGCCTGTCGGTGGGTGTGGCTTCCACCTGGCTTCCTCTCGCCTGTCGGTGGGTGCGGCTTCCACCTAAGAGGGCCAGGATCATTCATGCCTTGCTTTCACGTGTCGGTGGGCGTGGCTTCCACCTGGACTTCGCATGTCGGTGGGTGCGGTGTTCACCAGTTCCCAACTGTCAGGGCACGAAAATGGTAATGCTTTACCCGCGTCCTACTTCTACGCCCTTGACAGTCCTCCACTGCCGAATCCTCCTCCTCCTCCTCCTCCTCCTCCTCCTCCTCCTCCTTCTCCTCCTCCTCCTCCCACTCCACTCCTCCTCCTCCTCCTCCTCTTCCTCCTCCTCCTCCTCCTCCATCCCTCGGCCTGTCCCGCCCTCCGCATCCTCGTGATCCGGTTCCTCCTCCTCCTCCACCTCCTCGTCCTCAATTTTTCCTCAAATATAGCATCCCTGTCACACCTCCGACGTGTCCGTAGGGCGGGCTGCGCGTTCCGCCTGAGACTCTGTCACCAATGTGTGATCACGATGCTTGACACTTGCAACAGCTACACGGATGGAGCACAAGTCGTAGTCAAAATCTGGCTCTCGCCTGAGCGCCGCGCACATTCGTCTCAAAAGAGTGCGACAGCTAAACGGATGCAGAGGGGGGGTCCAACTGCGCCCTGGCGTTAGCGCCGCAGTTCTTCGTTTGAAATTGTTGCAACAGCTTCCAGGGTTGAGAGGGCAACCGCTTGAAGGGTGAAGAGGGCTCCTGTTCAAAATGCAGCTCACCTTAGCGCCGCGCACCTTCGCCTGAAACAAATGCTACGTATTCAAAGATAGAGGGGGCTGGTTTTCAAAAAGTTGCTCTCGACTTGGCGCCGCGTTCCTTCGCATGGAAATACTGTAGCAGTTACACAGTTGGAGGGCAGCTCCTTTTCAAAATGCGGCTCTCGCCTTTGCGCGGCGAACATTCGTCTCACAATGGTGCAGGATTTACACATAGGAAGGGCGGTTCCTTCTGGACATGTGGCTCTCGCTTTAGCGCCGCGCTCGTCTCCAAAGCTTACAAAAATGACGGTGATGGGGGACGACTGGTTCTCAGGTTGGGGCTCTGGCAGGTAACCTCAAATCTAGAAGACCGCAAAGCACGGCTGCGCGGATGGATGGCGGTTCCTTTTCCGAATGGGGCCTTCGCTGGAGACTTCCACAAAGCCCATGACGATAAAAACAATATTGCGCAACGACTGCACATGTTGGAGCGGTCTTGTTCTCGGAAAGGGCTTGGACCCAGAGTTCTTTTTGTGTTGTCGGGCCTCTGGCCCTAAATCGGAAGGGTGACGAGCAGGGTGAGGATTTTCACCTGAGAAATCCTCACAAAATGGGGATGTCGCGAGCAACGTTGGTTATCCAAATTGTGGCTTTCACCAGGGACATCCTCAGAAAATTAAGACGCTGAGATCGGGCGTCGGATATCCAACATGGTGTCAGCATGGGCATTTCGCCTGAGACATCCCCACAAATTGGGTGGTGTTGGAGGGGTTGTTGGAGCGACGTTGGTTCTCAAAAATGAGGCTTCCGCCTGAGACGTCCTCAGAAAAATAAGGTGTCGGAAATCGGGCGTCGGCTTTGCAACATGGTGTGTGGGGTCGTCTGACCAGAGACATACTCACAAGATAATGATGTTGGAGGAGTTGTTTACGACGCTGATTCTCGAACATGAACTTTTCGCCCTGAGACACCCTCAGTAAAATGAAATGTTGGAAGTCGGGCGTCGGATATGTGTGTGTGGGGGGGGGGTCCTTTCGACTCACGCCATCCCCACAGAATGGGGGGTGCTGGAGGAGTTGTTGGAGCGACGCTGGTTCCCAAAAGTGAGGCTTCCACCTGAGACGCCCTCAGAAAAATGAGATGTTGGACCACGCTGACGATGACGATGACGATGACGATGACGATGGCGATGGCGATGGCGATGACGATGACGATGACGATGTCGTCATCGTCATCGTCATCGTCGTCGTCGTCGTCGATCGGGCGCCGGATGCGCAACAAGGCGTGCGTGTGTGTGTGGGGGGGGAGGGGGGGCGCCTCGCCTGCCGACGCACAGCGACGGCGCAGACGCCCCTCCCCACGACGCACCCACCCCCCCCACACGCACTTCCGAACCCCAGTCGGAGGCCCAGGGATTTTCTTATATTTGTTGTTTTATTCGGAGGCCCAGGGAATAAAACACCCCCCGCACTTCCGAAGCCCACAAATTCGGAGGCCCAGGGAAGAAAAGGTGGCCGCGCGTGCCCTCCCACGCCCCACCCCCCTACAGCGCAGACGCCCCCCTGCGCACCTCCGCATCCCGCACATTCGGGCTTCGGAGGCCCCAAAGGGAAAGGCGGCCACGCGTGTCCTCTCCGTGGCGCCGTGGCCGGCTGGCAGGCAGAGCCGCGCGGGGGGGGGCAGCTCGCGCGACGCACGGCAGGGCGCGTGGCAGGGCGCGCGGCGCGCGGCACGGGACGCGGTGCACTCGGCACTCGGCGCACGGCGCGGCACACGGCACACGGCACGCGGCACACGGCACGCGGCACGCGGCACGCGGCACGCGGCACGCGCCGCACGGCACGGCACACGGCACCCGGCACGGTGCGATGCAAGAGGAAATTGAAGGGGCCCCAGGACACACAAATAAATACACACTAATACAAATAACATCCCCCATATTTTCCCATATTTTCTGGGTTCCTGTCTTCCCCCCCACTTCCCATATTTTCCCATATTTTCTGGGAATCGCCGATTAATTGTGTCTGTGTGTTTTTTCCCCTCCTGAGAAATGGCAGCCACAGACTCCTGCAACACGATCTCCAACGTGCACTTGGAAGATACTCTGGCGCGAGACTCGTTCTCCCATGGACCTGGCGCGACCGTCCCAGTGCTGAGCTCGGGCCCAGGCTCCCCTGTGTGTGATGGGGCCTTCGGCCCTTGACCACAGAGGTCGGACAGCAGATCCTGGGCCGTAAATTCCTTACTGGGCCCGCGGGTGCCTCAAGTTTCCGCACGGGGATCTCGCTGGACCCCTCGCCGAATTGCATGAACCTGCCTCTTTGAAGGGGCCCTGGGACACACAAATAAATACACACAAATAAAAGGATTCTCCATATTTTCCTATATTTTCTGGGTTTTTGTTTTCCCCCCACTTCCCGTATTTTCCTATATTTTCTTGGGGATCGACGATTAATTGTGTCTGTGTGTTTTTTCTCCTCCTGACTCTTCGCGTTCTTTACTAATCGCTAGACGGATACGAGGCGGCTCCCTTTCAAAAAGGGACTCTCGCCCGAATGCCAAGCCGATAGGGAGCTGGTCCTTCAAGGCGACATTTCTTGTGACGAAATGGAGGACTCGTATTGACCTCTGAGGAAGAAACTTGGGACGGCAGGGTAGATTGCAGCATTGTTGATCCATCCTGGGTTTACTCGGCCCACCCTCTTCGTCCTCGTCATCAGTGCCATTACCGTCATCAGCAGCAACAGCAAAAGCATCTGAATCATCATTATCATGCTCCACCTCCCCCTCCTCCTCCTCCACCTTCTCCACATCCTCATCCTCATCCTTCTCCTCCTCCTCCTCCTCCTCCTCCTCCTCCTCCTCATCCTCCTCGTCCCAGTGCTGAGCTCGGGCCCAGGCTCCCCTGTGTGTGATGGGGCCGTCGGCCCTTGACCAAAGCGGTCGGACAGCAGATCCTGGGCCGTAAATTCCTGACTGGGCCCGCGGGTGCCTCAAGTTTCCGCACGGGGATCTCGCTGGATACCTCGCTGAATTGCACGAGCCTGCCTCGTCGCGTTCTTTACTAATCGCTAGGACGGATACGAGGCGGCTCCCTTTCAAAAAGGGACTCTCGCCTGAATGCCAAGCCGATAGGGAGCTGGTCCTTCAAGGGGGCACTTCTTGTGACGAAATGGAAGACTCGTATTGACCTTTGAGGAAGACACTTGGGACGGCAGGGTAGATTGCAGCATTGTTGATCCATCCTGGGTTTACTCGGCCCACCCTTTTCATCCTCGTCATCAGTACCATTACCGTCATCAGCAGCAACAGCAAAAGCATCTGAATCATCATTATCATGCTCCTCCTCCCCGTCCTCCTCCTCCTCCACCTTCTCCATATTCTCATCGTATCATCAACAACAACATCACCAACAACAGCATCACCATCATCACTAGCATCAGCAGCAGCATCATCATCATCATCATCATCATCATCATCATCATCATCATCATCATCATCATCATCATCATCATTGGCGTCGTCGCCGCAGCCGCCGTCGTCATCGTCATCCTCCTCATCATCATCGTCATCAGCATCACAAACACCAACACCAACACCACCATCATCATGAGAATCATCATCATCATCATCATCATCATCATCATCATCATCATCATCATCATCATCATCATCATCATCATCATCATCATCACCAACAGAAACGGCAGCAACGTCCGCACCATCCGCATCCCTCCCTCTGCAGGGCCCGGCCTCCACCTCCGTCTGCTGCGCCAGCTCGCGGGTCGGCGACAGGACGAGCAGCCCGGGGCCCTCCCTCTCGGGCCGGTGGCCCCTGGGGAGCGGCAGGAGGACGAGGGGGAGAAGGGAGGAGGGAGGAGGGAGGAGAAAGGAGAGAGGAGAAGGAGGAGGAGGAGGGAGAGGGAGGAGAGAGGAGGGAGGAGAGAGAAAGGACAAGGCAGAAGGAGGAAGAGGAAGAGGAGGAAGAGGAGGAGGAAGAGGAGCAAGAGAAGGAGGAGGAGGAGGGGGAGAAGTCCAGTCAAGTGCAGAAGCCTTGCGCCGGCCACAGCGCGTGAGCAATGGGCGAACATGTGCACGGAAGCGAATGCCTTCAGCACGCCACCCATGCCTTGACCGCCTGTTCTCACCTGCGAGCAGCACCGCCCTCTCAGCAGAAGTAATGAGCAAGTCGTTCGGGCGGCCTCTTCTCTTTTTCCCCAGGAGGCTCTTGAGAACCAGACCGCCCGGCTCAAACCCCGAGATTATGACTGGATCCTCGTCCGGTCTTCTAGCCAAATGGCCCATGTATCACATTTGTCTACGCGCGAGACTATCGCTCAAAGGTATCGCTTGGCAAATCTGCAGAACTGCACGATTCGATTCCCCATTGATGTACGACGTAGGGACTCTGCATATCCGTCTTAGACAATAGTTCTGGAAGCCGTCGAGCCGTTTTCGCTCGGCTTGGTCAAGGCAAGCAGTGAATAATACATCTGCGAGTTTGGAAACAACGCTAGCGTTGAGTATGCGTAGCTTCTGTCTCCTACTCAGTCGACCGCAACCAGATTATTGCAAGCACCTCGAAGTCACTTCTGGCCACCCCAATTATCCGACTCAGCTCTGCGCCTATGCGCCCGTCCGCAGCAAGAGACGCCCCGAGATAAATTAATGACTGCTTGGCTGGGATGGGGACCTCGTTGCGCCCCGCAATATCTGCCTCAGTCCTCACTTTCATCAGTCCCATCTTGCCCCAATTTAACTGCAGCCCGCAGTGGCCCCCGCATTCCTCAACGCAGCGCATCAGCTCTTGATCGAGGGCCGGGTCCGAATCTATGCGCGACGCGTCGCCCACGCACGCGAATCCCATTGCAAACCGATGTTCAGGCATGTCCGGCACGTCTCAGCAGCAGCGCGCGCGCGTGAAAAGCGTCGCCATCGCAATGGCGAACAAGAATTGGGACAGCGGACAGCCCTGGCACATGTCGCACCTCTGCTGGCGTATGCTGGACGCGCGGCCCCGAAGTCCCTCCCGACGAACTTGCGATCGCTGCAAGTGGATACGACGACGGCCGCGAAACCATCTGGGCAGCCAAATTTCCGCAACGGTCGGGCAAGGGCACCCGGCGAGACCGAATCGAATGCTTTGGCCCAGTCGAGTGCCACGAACAAACGAATTGCATCTCGCGTTGACCACGTGTCATCCAACATCCAGCGGGCGAGGAACACCGCGCCCCCCGCGCCCCGCCCGGAGCGACACACGAATTGGGTTCGCCAAGTGCGGTCTTCAGCCCCCGCCTGCCTCAGCCTGTGAAGAGGACGGCCGCGGACAATTTGTAGCCGATGGGCGAGATACCGATGAGGCAGTAACTCTCGCATTATGCAGGGTCGCCTTCCTTGAACAACATCGACACCCTCACATGCCTCCAAGCTTCTGGGATCTTGCCATGTCTCCAGACGTCGGTGTAGAATGTTGCCAGGTAGCTCGGGCTCGGGAGACCCCCCGCGTCGCTTGCCGCCGCTGTCCAGGATTCGGGCGGCGCCCCGCCGCGGCCAGAAGCGCGTCCACGCATCAATTTCGCAGCTGCGGCCTTCACCTCCTCCGCTGCGACATCGCCCACGGAGATGGGCAAGCAAGTCGTCGTCGGCGATGCGGGCAGCAGCTGGCGGTGCCACTGTCGTGGGTCTGACTGCCCACTGCGCCCTCTCAAGGTAGCTGGCCAGAGTCTCAGCGCGCTGGTCCGCGTCCACCATGCCCTCGCTGACGTCGCGAAGCCTGCCCTGTCTGCGGACAAGGCCTTTCCGGAGCCTCCGAAACTGACTCCAATCAACCGGTTCCGTGACAGATTCGATCCAAGCAGCCTTCCCTGGCAACCGAAGCACGGATTTTCTCCGACAAGCGCTTCTCACCGTCAATGTCGCCCTGCCTTCTGGCGCACGCTCGGCGCTCTCGGGGATCTTCTGACCCGGGTCAATCCAAACCCGGGTCAGCAGGAAACCAAAAACTGCAATGCAGGAAAAAAAAAAAAAACTGCACCGCAGGTCTTCGCAGACCCGGGTCAGCCAATACGCGCGGCCGCCTCGCGGCCACGAGCGGCTCCCTAACCCGGGTCAGCCAGAGGGGGTCTTCGCAGGATCCTGCAGGATCTGGCGCCCTGGCTGACCCCCGTCTGTATTGACCCCCGTCTCAAGGCTCCCGACGCTCGATCAGCCCCAGCGTTCCGGCACTCGCCATGGCCTTGTGGCCGGCCTCGGAGCGAGTGGCAACGCGCGTTCTGCATCGCGATCAAAGCCGCCCACGACACGACCCCACCCCATTCGACATCTCCGTCTCCAGCTGCTGCATCTTCGGAGCCCTCCAAAGCGCGCAGCATGTTCACATTGAAATAGCAAGCGGCGCGTGGGTCGGAGAAGAGCTGTGACATCAAGACATGGACTCCGGCCCGCAGGTGCCATCTTCGTCAACAGACACGCGGGCACACTCAGTCAACAAGGAATGACGGGTCGACAACGTGCCCAGCAGCCAAGCCAATCACGCCCTTGGAAGAAAGTCCTCTCTCAGAGTACGAAATCGATCTTCGAGTGCGTCGAGGATCCAGTTTGCATCCCAGCATGTAGTTGGTGACAAGGTTGCCATCCAGCACGTCAAAAAATGTGTTTGCAACGCACATGCTCAGATTCTCGCACATCTCAACCAGTAGGTACCGGTTGGCGTCTTCCTTGCACGTCTCGAGGGGGTGCTAGAAAATGCAGGGCCCCATACAATTCTGCGCTCATGTCTCCTGACACAAGCTTGGGTCCATGAGCGGACCTTGTGAAAACGAATTGTGGCAAGCTCGTGGAAAATTCCGACCGCCGCTGGAACTCGCACCCACTGCGCGGCGCGAACGCAGAGAAAACGACAGTCCTACCTCGGGGGATCCGAAGCTCGAGCGATGCCACGCGGTCCGTCGCGTGGCAGAATCCAACCACAAAGCGCCTGAAACTTGGATGCGCAATAAAACCCACCCCCGCCCGCTCGTCCACTGGGTCGCCCACGCCGCCGGACAGGACAACGAGGAAGCCGGACTCCGTGACGTACGTGCTAGACTTCCACGGCGTCCATGCTTCCTGTAGGCGCAGGACCTTGACATGTTGTTGATTCCTTGGTTACTCTAGCTCGATTTGTTTCGAGTCTGCATGTCCTTCGATGTTCCAAGATGCCACGTTGAATTCGTCAGCTGTGGCAGGGTGTAAACGACCACCCCGAGCCGCAGAAAGTGACAACGTGGCTCGGCCAGCTGGATGTCCACATCCTGCAGGTGCAACGTCATTGCTCACGCACTCTTTGCGCCCCTACCTGCTGCTCTCGACGGCAGCCTTCCGTTCCCCTTTCCATTTCCCGAGGCCCTTTGACGGGATCTTGCCGAGCTTGGCGCTGAGTTTCGCGACCTAGTCCTGAAAATTGGCGCATCCGTCCTGCTTGAACCATTCCTCCCAACCCGTGCCAAAGTCGGTCTCGAACTTGTTGCCTACGATCCCCCCGCTCACCGCCACATCAGCACCAACCAACACCTTACCCTCACCCGGGCCCGCCCAGACATTCTCGGCCGTGAACCCCCACTGCTTGGGAAGGTGCTTAACGCTAAACGCGAAGGACGTGAGGATGCGATTGGGGAGAGCTATGCCCCGCTTTGCCTTAAGTTCGTTCCCGCCGTCCTTGAAAGAGGCCTGCTGGACGAGTTTCACGGCAGTGTCCCTGCCAGCTGCGGCCCGTAGAGGTCCCACATGTTCGCCTCTATCCACATCTTGGCGTTCTCCGCGCTGTCGGTCCTCTCAAAGGCCACCGACCGACCACCACAATGTACTCCTCGTCATAGTTCCCACCGCTCTTTTGCGCGTTGTCCATCAGCTTGAGTTCCGAGATCTGAGCCTCCAACATCTTCACCTGGTCCCGCTCTTCTGCGTCTGTCTAGGAGCCCGCCGAAGTGGTTTCCAAGCTCGTCGGGAGCACGCCCATTGCTCTCCATCTTGCTCTCCACCTCCGTCATCCTCTCCTCCATGGCCCCTCCAATCTCATTCACTTTGCGCTCTAAGCCCTCCACCGCTTACCGAAGTGGCTGCACCTCCTGCTTCAGAATTCGCGATCTGCTGGAGCGTCGGCGGCTGCGCAGCTGTCTCCTCAGGGTTTTTGGGGCCAGTGACGAAGAGATCCGATGAACCTCCGGACGTGGAGGGGAGCCGAAGGAGTCGATGTCGTTCGGCCCGTCACCCATGTCGTGGAGCGGGCCAAACAATCGTTGGCGAACGTGACGCTCGAGAGCTTCTCGAACTGGCATTCGCGTGCTCCTGGACGATAATAAGGGGGACGATAAGGACGATGGAGGGAGAAGGAGAACAATAAGGACGATGAGGAGGAGGAGGAGGGAGAAGGAGAAGGAGAAGGAGGATGAGGAGAAGGGAGGAGGAAGAGGAGAATGACGGAATGAAGGAATGAAGGAATGACCTAAGGGGCAATATGTCTCACCAGGAGATTGAAGAGGAGGGGCACGAGGAAGGGGAGGAGGAGGGGGAGCAACAGCAGCAGAAGGGGGGGGAGATGGGGGGAAGGAGGGGGGAGGAGGGGGGGAGGGGGAAGAGCAGGAGAGGGAGGGAGAGAAGGAGAAGGAGGGCGGCATGGCGGAGCAGAGCGGAGCAGCACCCGTGACCCGATGAGGTGCACCTGACTGCACAGACGGCCAGAGACCCCCAAAACGGGGAACGAGACGGACCTGGTGTCCCCAAACACGCTCGGGTCTTGAAACGACCACGACGAAATGTTTTTGGCTCTTTTCAGCCCCTGGGGCCCCTCACCACCAAGGGACAAGGGGAAGGGAGAGAGAATAGCAGGAGGGGGGCTAGGAGCAGAAAACACCTGGCAGAACCAGACGGGCAGATCGGGCGGGTGGACCCTAACGGTCGGGTCAGGAAGGCGGGCTCAGATGGCCAGGTCGAGCAGGCGGGTTGCTGAAGCGTGCGGCCTGCATGGATCGTGCGGAATGCTCGAGCGACAGCGCGATTCCCAAATGCATCGTGAGGAAATTCACAGTGAGAGCGTGGTTCCTGAGTGTCGAGGGCGCGGCGTCTGAAAAAATTGCAAGGAAAACCCACGCGAGAGCGCGATTCCTGCGTAAGTTGTGAGGAAGTCCCGCGCGAGAGCGCGACTTGGGAAGAATTGAAGAAGTATCAGGCGGGAGCCGTGGTTGTTGTGGATCAATATCAATATGAGCGTTCTTCATCGATTTCGGTCTCTGGGAGCTCTTATCGGGCCCCAGGACCATAAACAAATTACCTCCATGGATGGGGTCGGGTCCTCTGGGGCCACGTTTGAAAGAAATGTCGTCGGATGTCTGGGAAGCTGGGGCCCATTACCGTGGGCGGAAACAGTTGGCGCGACTATTACTCGTGACGTCAGCAGTCCGCCGCTCAAACGCCGCGAGGTGCCCGGCTGCGCAGACGAACGGAGCTGCCGCTCAGAGAAATCGCACGAAGCAAGCTCGGCGGGACGCGCGTGCCTGTTTTTTCCGGCCAGCGGTCGTTGCTGCCTGGGCCGTGCCCCATTCATCGAATGGCGGAAATCCACCGTCATGATACCAAACATGTGATGTCCTGTTTTTGTTCAAGACGGGGTCCCTGGAAGTCCCGACCCTCTCCCCAGGGCTGCTGTTTCATCCCGATCAATCTTCTGACGGTTCTGGGGCCCAGCGAGGGCCCCTGGAGGCAGAAAACAGCCAAAGCCTGCCGTCGCACGACGCGAGCATGTCTGGGGTCGTTGCTGTCTGGGCCGTGCCCCACTCATTGAATGGAGGAGCTCTACCGTTACTTGGCGGTGCGCAGAAGGGGGTGGAGGGAGGGGGGAGGGCTTCTTAGAAGGAGGCTGCTTCTTAAAAGGCGCCGGCCTTACATCTATAGGTAAGGCCCGCGCCTTCTGAGAAGCAGGGTGCTTCTAAGAAGTCCTCCCCCCTCCCCCCTCCCCCCTCTGCGCGTGGCAGAGTTACGATCTGGCTTCGCGCTCATGACGGTCAGGAGCTTTGGCTCAGCGTGTCGCGCCGCCAGCTGTGGCCCAGCGCACTTCGGCGCGACACGCTGACCACGTCCCGGTCCCCAGGCGTCGACGCTCCACGCTTGTCTGGACTTCCCGCCCCGCGGAACGCAGCGACACGCTGTCCGCTGGCAGGGCATAGTTTACCAGCCTCGAACGTATCCCTATCCCTAAGATTGACACGCCAAAAGGCGATGACAATCTTAGGGATTCGCCCTCAAAAAATAAGGGAATCCCTAAGATTGGCATCGTGATGAGGAGGTGCCCAGCATAGGGATAGGGATATGTTCCATGCTGCTAAATAGTGTGTCGCCAGGGCCGCCACCGACGCGCGCCAAGCAAAAATGTCCTGACCCCATCTCCATCCACTCATACCGGGGGAACCAAGATTTGTCGACACCGCTACTCCCTGGACCCCTCCCGGGGTGCGCCCTGACGGGAACTTCGGGGCGGACCTGGCCGTGGCGACGAGGAGCTCCCAGGAGGCCCGCGAATGCGAAGAAGAGGGAGTGGTCGCGGTATCGTTACGCTTTACTCCTCTGACACTGTTGCCACCAGCGTGCAGGTACATGACACGGGATGTTGCTGCAATGCCACGGACCCGCTGTGCTGAATAATGGTGGATTTTTCTTCCAGTCTAGGCCACTCCGACCAGCGCGCGCACCAGGGCGTCATGGCTGCAACCACCCGGTTTCACTCCGAGGATGAATTACGCTCTGGCTGGAATTTTGGAGACCCCCAAAATGAGGATTCACCGAGAGCGAGGGCCTCGCGTCGGCTGTCCTCAAGTGACTCCTGGAGGACTGCGTCCTCGGTGCAGTTTCCCGCCACCCGCGGCAGACATACGCAGGAGCAGAGGGGGGGGCTCCTGTCGACCATCTCCGTGAACGCGGGCAGCAGGAAGGCCAGCGTCTTGCCGCTGCCCGTGGCCGCGATGCCGATGATGTCCTCTCGGCGCGCCGCTACGCTTAGGTCGGGCTTGTCCCCCTACAGGGTGATTTTCGATGAAAAATAAAAGATAATCAAACAATACTCCCAAATGGTCAAAAAATACTCCAAAAATAGTCCCCAGACTATTTTGACGATTTTTGAATATTCTCCTGTAGAGGGACAGGCCCGACTTAACGCTACCTACGCGGCTCAGCAGACAAGGCGGCCGAGCTGGACGAAAAGCCCTCGGCACCCCGAGATCGGGC